GTTGCCATGGCTGTACAAGTCTCACGGTTTGACTTACAACTCACCTTCCCCTCGTATCATTCCCTCCCCATTTTGTTTTGCGAACAGGAGATTTCTTGTCTTCAGAGAAGAAGAGACAGTGTTCAAACGGAAACTAAAAGGACCTGAAAATCTTCAACGAAGGGAAAACGGGTGACTAAGGCAAAGCGCTCACCCTCAAAGGGCAGCCTCTCTCAATGGCTATCCTTTGGAGACAAAAATACACATTTTCTCTCTGAGGAGACGCCCCAGGCTCAGCGAGGGTCCTCCCTACATCCCCAGCCCAGGCCAGAGCAGCCAGTAACACCCTCAAAGGGGGGAGGAGACGGTCCAAAGGCAAGGCCTCAGGCCCTACGGCCTTTGTGGGTGATAAGTGCTGATTTCAATTTCTCTGTCTTCCCATGAAAATAACTGCAAACATCTCTGCAAACGAAAGGTCACTGGTTGCTTGTTTCCCAATAAACTTTCCAACTAAGAAACAGATTGTCAAGTGGATCTGTTGGAGTTCCACCCAGAGGTGGCAGCCCTGAGCAGACCCCAGAGAAAGAATTCTTCCCCTCCCTCTGTTTTCCACTCCCCCTCTGCTGGTGAGCTGATGCAATTCTTATCTGGAACTTGATAGAATGCAGCAAATAATTACAAATGAAAAGGTTATTCATAATTTTTAAATGAGTTAATTAGTAAACCCAGTCAGACTCGCTCATTACAGTAATTAATAATTGATTATACTTGAAATTAAACACAATTTTTCATCAAAAATCTAATTAAATATCTCTGCTTTTGCCTGTTGATGAGATCAAGTTGGTCTGCCAGCAAAGTCTTTGTTAAGGATATTTGTGCTCAGCAGAGACAATTAATTTGATTTTCAATAATTGATGGTTCCTTACAAGTTAGTCATCCTCGTCTGTGATTATGACCAAGCAATCAGAGCTCATCCCGTGCCCCCAGCAGCTGGAGGACATCCAGCACAAGGCTGCCACCCTCAGCCCTTGGGAACAGGTAGGGACCAGTCTCGCACCTGCAATGCATTCACTACTTTGGCTGACTGCTACTCCAGCCTCACAAGCATCCGTCTGAGGTGATGGCTTGTGCCTGTGTTCTAGACGAGAAATCAGGACTCAGAGAAGCGAGCTGCCCAAGGGCAAACAGCTACTCAGTGGCGGAGCTGGCAATGGAATCCAGGCTCCCAGGCAGGTGTAAGCTCTGCCGCAGCACCTTGCTGAGTCTCCAGGTAACAAAGGGAAGACCCTGGGCTTGCCTCTCTGAGCTGGTCCCTGGATAAGGACTCCTGTTTGAAGGTTTCTATATAGATTGGGTTTTGTCAGAAGGATGCATTTATTATTGGCAAGGACGCATTATCAATGTACTACTTCCTAGCGACACCAATTCTCCCAAATCAACTTCACATCTACCCTCCTCCTCTCTGCCTACCTTGTCACCTTCTTAGCTGAAGCCCTCAGCTTCTCCTGACTCATTTATGCAGCAGGGCCTGTCCTTCCTTCTTCTACCTCTATCTTCTTAAGTTAAAATCTGACTATGTCCTGCCACTGCTGAAAGCCCTTCAATGGTTCCCTGTTGCCCATCCAATAAGGTCCTTAACTTGGCCTCCACAGTGATTTGCATAATCTGACCAAACTCTCCCACATTAGCCCCAGCTGTGCCCCTCATACCCGTCAACTGCTTCAACCACCAAAAACATCTTTGCCCCCACATCCTCCTCCTTCAAGACTTTGGAACTTCCCTTGGTTTGAAATACCTTTCCTTCATGTCTACTTCTGGCTAACTATGACTTGAAGATTCAGCTAAAACATCACCTTCCACAGGAAGACTCCTCCAATCCTTCTGGTTGGGGTGGGGTGTTCCTGTAGCCCCCGAGCCGCCTCAGTCACTGCTAACAGAGCTGTATTATCATACTGTATCCATCACTGCTTCTCAGCTAACAGTGCCTCAAGAGTAGTGTCAGCCCGAGCACCTGGCATAGTACCCAACTCAGAGAAGGTAGCCTGCTTGGTTTGCTGAAAGAAAAATAAAATTCACAAGATCATAGATTCAGAGACTACCAATGTTGGAAGGGAGATTAAAGGTCATCCAGTGAAAACCCCTAATCAATGAAAGAATCTAATTTTTGCTACGTGGTCATTAAGCAGTATTTGCACCCTTCCTAGACAGGGAACTCACTACCTCACACAGTAGCCTGTATCTTTAGATAGCCGATGATGGATCTGGTATTCTTACTAAGCAGGAAAGGAATAAAACCATGAGATGGAAAACAGATGAGAGTTTATTTAATCACATATTGATTCTTTCTTTCTGAACTAGGTAACGGTACATAGTATAAACCTTAAGATTTCAATGCAAACCAAGTTGATATCTATATATAGCGAACTACTTGACTCTTGATGAACAGTGACACTGCTTGCTCAAGTCTACTCACCCATGAAATATAATGTCAGTCAAAACCAAGAGCTATGCTAGTGGTTGGTGGGGATACAGTGCTGGTGGTGCCAGGAAGAAATGTTCATGCAGGGTGACAGTGCTTGGAACCGCACAACCCAGTTTACATCAGTCATTAACCTCTCTCAGAGCCTGAGAGAGTACTGACCTCCCCCAGTTGCGCTGTTCCTTTTACCCAGTGACCCAGAGCAGGGATGGCAAATACCCGGTATGTCATCAATATTCTCCACTCCTGTGGCCACAACAGACATCAGTGATCAATCACAGAGACTCTTTTCCAATGAGTCTGAATATAGCCTCGGGATCCTCCTCAACACAGCTTTCTAGGCAGCAACGGCTAATCAATCAGACAGAAAGAAGAGACGAAACTTGTGTGCCAACCTGACCTTGAAGCCATGAAATTCTCTAAGTCAGTCTTCACAAGGGGAAAAGAGACCTGGATATCAGACGAGGCTTATTATAGCTCGAGATGTTTATGGAGACCTCCTTGTTTGCAGGACTATCATCTTCCTGATTACCTGTTTTTATAAAATTCAGAGATCTTGAGAGGGAAGGGACCTTACAGCTGACATCACTCAAACCCCCACCCAGGCTTGAATCTCTTTTCCACATCCCAAACAAGTGGGAGCCATGCTCTATTAATCATTCCTAGTGACAGCTCTTACTACCTCTCGACAGTTCCCTTCCGTCCACAGTGACTTTACTTGTCACAGAGTCCTTTTTGACAATGGCAGTACTCTGTCTTCCTTTGGCCTTTGCCAGTTAGTTCTATTTCTAATTTTGGGCTTAGACTAAAAGGCCCCCTCTGCTTATAGAATTATCTCAGAATTCCTTAGCATGCGTTTGAAGCCTTCTCAAGCTGGTCTGACCTACCTTAAATCTTAGAATTACAGAATTTGAAGGTTGGAAAAAACAAAGGGTTAGGCCAATCCCCCCACCCCAGTGCCTTTTCTAACAGGAAGATTAGCAGAGGCAGCAGATGTTACACAATGTCCCCAGATATTGTCAGATTAGTATCTTCCCTGGGAGCAGACCAAAGACCAAAGGGAGGGGTCCAAAGGAGGAAACCAGACTGTGGTGCAAATCCATCTAAAGAGTGCACAGTAGGAGGCATCGCAGGCAAGGCAGTGGGCGGAGAGGAGTTTCCTACATCATAAGGTGCCCTGGGGACGGGTAGGGAGGCCAGCCAGTGCTGCTCCAGGTCTCTGCGCTCCCTCAGCCAGCTCTCATGGCTCACTGGGACCCTCCCTGACCATGGCTCAACACTGGATCTCGGCTCCCACAGTACCCTCAGACCACCTTGTCAGACGCTCCCCTTCAGATATGCTTTTCTGGCTTGAAGTTGGCACAGTCCAACCTTTGGCAGTTTCCCTCCAATCTCAGGGGAACCCACCTCCTTCCTGCTCCCTGCTGCAGTGACGTGGCACCAACAGGAGAGGCCAGTCTGCTGTCCAGCCTCCCCACTTGTCATTTCATTTGTAGTGACTCCAACTGATGACACTCACATCATAGACCACCACCTCAAAAGCCAGTCCTAGTGAGAGCTTATGCCTCAGGCCAGGCCTCCACCACATGAGAGAGCTGATGCTAAGCTTCCGTCCCGGGATGTGTGCAGAGTGGAGGAGAGAGCCCCGAGCACTGACCCTGACAGTTTGGGGGGTGCAGGCCAGTCCAGCGTGCTACGGCTGCATGGCTCACCCGCAAGCTCTGACTGTCATGCTGGCAGAGTGCCTGCATGCCTGTGGGGGTGTTAGTCACTGCCCTTTGGGCCCAAGGGGAGCCAAGGGGAGCTGGGGTGGGGAGGTGCTTACCCACAAAGTACGCCAGCAGGATGACCAGCGTGGCTGAGATGACAATGGCGCTCAGGGCCGCGCACTTCCAGTTACAGTACTTGGAGGGCTTCTTGAGGTTGAAGGCTGGTCGGGAGAAGGTGCTGCGGGGCAGGGGCCGGGGCGGAGGTGAGTACACGGTGCTGGACGTCAGAGGGTACCCCGGTGACGTGGTGCAGAAGAGCGGGGAGGTGCCTCCTGGCTTGAAGAGGAAGTGCCTGCGGGTGGAGAGAAGCCAGAGGGTATCAGGGTCTGCCAATCCCGGAGCCCACATGGACCTGGAGGGTGGAGGCAGCAGTAGAAGAAGCATGCAGAGGAGCCTGGAGAGAGAGAGTCATCACGGAGAAGACGGAGGGACAGGAAAAAGGAGAATCACGTACCAGATCACAAAACAGGGCACACGAAGACATGTTTCAAGGAAACATGGATGGGACAGCCCTCCCCCTGGGGAAATCACCCAAGTCAAGGCAGAAAGTGTTACCAACTGGACAGAAGGCTGGGTGTTGAGATCCTTTTCCTGGGAAGGGATGGGGCTGGGACGCTGTTTCTTAAGGAATAAACTAGATGTTTTCTAAAACTATTGCAGTAACTTGGAAAGTGTCTAAAATCCTGTTCTGCCTCCTGGAGATTAAGGAACCTAACATTTTTCTTCTCCCTCCAATATGTACTTTGCCTTCATACTTGGTAGAGGAGTGGAATACCATGCTTTTTAAAGGCGGCTTTGTTAGGGGTGGAAACCAAGAAACCACCACTAAGTTCTGCCACGGTCCAGAGTCCCCTTGTGGCTGCTACCCAGCCAACAGCAGCAAAGGCATTCAAAGCACTCTGCTCAGAAGCCAGTCTGCTGCCTTCCAGATCCCTGGTAAAAGCCATGTGTGTGGACAGACAGCCGATTGCTACCTACAGACCACTACAGTCTTGAGGGCAGCAAGGCAAGGTCAAAGCACATGGTTATGGCCAAACTAGGTGTCAGGAAATCCTCCACAGGCTAGCATTAACCATGGCCATGGGAGGACTGGGACACACCCTGGGAAACAGGGGTAACTGGTTGCACGCATGCCATGCCCCCAAAATCTTAAGATAAAAGATAAGTCTTAAGGCAATCTTGTACCCTGCTGGAGTGTGAGATACCGCAGGCCACAGCATACATAAAACACAGGGCCTCTGTTGCAAAAAACTGCTACATGAGATGGCTTTCAGAATGGCAGAGGCAGCCAATGAGATGCCAGAAGTGTCATATTAACAAGACTGCTGTTAATATGCTGCGGGACAGGGTATTCCAAGGATAAACTCTTGCGAGTTGAACATGGACTCGAGGATGGGCATGCAACATGGCCTCATCACATTCCCCAGGAGATCCCAGGGAAAGGTCTCAGGGTCTGCATGCAAGTGCAGGCGCCACAGGGAGAGCACACACAGAGAGGAGGAGCATGGGGATGTCACCTACCCGTCACTGTAAGCCCCATCATGGCGGGAGGCGCTGAGAATGTCCATCTCAATGAGGTTGTCCTGCAATGTCCCTAGGAAGGGCTGCTTGCCTAGGTTTCTACACACACATGGAAACATGAATGAAGCAATGAGTCATGCATCGATGAAGGGGAGAGTAGAGAAACACACAAAGTGGCTGACTGGCGCAGCTGTGCGTGAGGCCAGAGGGATGCAGTTTCCAGGCCGTGGGTCTGTGTGCAAGCCACATGCACCCAGTCCTGCCTGGCACAGAGCATCCAGAGGGAGCACTCACTATACAAACCTGTGTGTCTGCCAGGTGCCTGCATCCCAGCGCAGCTCTGACCAGCGCAGACTCAGTATGACTTAGGCACGAAGCTAGGCACGTTACATCCATTTAGCTCAAGTCTTCAAAAGAGGCAATTTAAGGAAGGCAGTGACGTCCCTATTTTACAGATGAGGATAAGGAGATGCGGAGAGATCTCAGGCCTGGCTGAGGTTACCAGCTGGCAAGGTTCAGAGCAGGAATTTGCGCCCAGGTTCACCTGGGTCCAGAGCCTATGCTTTCTCCTCTACTCGGTCCTGTCTACGCCTGCTTTAACAACACCCGGAGACACACACTCTGCTAGTCTGAAGGGAAAAAGCCAGACAAGCATTTGCTTCTAAAGCAGTGGTTCTCAAACCGGAGTAAGCACCAGAATCATCTGGAGAGCTGTGCTTTGCTGAGGCCCAGCCCCGGAGAGTCAGAGTTGGTAGGTGGTGGGGGCCTGGGGATCCGCATTTCTCACCAGCCCCCAGGGCCTGATGCTATGTGCCATGTCAGGGTCTTTGATGACCCTGTGTGATGATCCATTGGTGAGGATGGTGCCCCACAGAGACGGGGGAGGCTCTTCTGTCCCCCCATGTCACCAAGGGCAGTGCAGCATTTTGTGACCCAGAAAGAAGACAGACGTGCTTGTGCCATTTTGGTTTCAACCATGCCTGCTAAGTGGCGTGACTCACACGTGAGCACACCGGATCCTGTCTTCTGAAGTGTCAGGACTGTGGCCACCTCACTTGAAAACCCTGTAGTTAATTTGTTTCGAGCAAGCCAGCGCTGGCTTTGGCTGGCTGTGCGCGCCGGAGGGAAGAACTAAATGCAGAAGGCTAGCTTTTGGGTCCAGCCCTACCAGGGACCTTTCTTCTGCCTTTGACCAGGAGTTGAGGACCAGAAAACCTAACTTCAAGTCCCTTTCCTGCAACTTTCTGGTTGTGTGACTTTGTGTAAACACTTTAACCTCTTCTGATCTTAACAGTACTTTCTCCATCTGTAAAATGGGGATAGGATAACTGTACTAAGCTCACAGGAGGCTACAGGGCCAAGTGAGTAATGCTGGAAGAATTTTCAAGGCTAAACAAAGATTACAGAAG